ATAATTTGTTTGTATTATTTGGGATATCTAAAAGAGACGTTGCATGTAATTGTCTTCTCCAGCTATTTCTAAATAGTTTAGAAATATTTATTTAGTAATGGTGAAGAGGTGATGAGAAATAGCCAATATTTTAAAATAAGATGTGCAATAGCATACAAAGGCATGCAAGCCAGTTAGTGATTGAAGTGATTATACCAGGCTATTTCCTTTTAAATACATGACACATTGCCTGTACTTTCAAGGCAGCACAATGAGGACATAAGTGACGGATTAAACTTGCCAGATGGAAAGAACAAAAGAAATGGACATTTAAACATGAACATTCTTGGAGCTATTATAGGTATCGTAGGTATAATGGACTAAGCATGGCTGAGAATAAATATTAAGTTCATTATAGAGAACCAACAGAACAGTTCATCACTAAAGTATATATTATACTTCAATTTAAAAAGAAAAAAAGCTCCTCTCTACTATGCACTCAATAAAATCAGTCTGGCTCAAATTCAGAGCTCAAACCACCAGATGGACATTGAATATTTTGAGAAGAGGGAAGGTTGATTACTGATAATACTATTGGACTTCTGCAGGAATATGAACACATGCCATCAAGATGCTTCTCTTAACCCAAAGAGAAGGCCTGCCCACGTCCCAAGCAACCCTGTGATTGCTTCTACTACATAAGCCCTAACAAGGGGTATGTAATATCACGTTTATACAGTAGAGATGCACCACTTCTTCTTTCAAAAGTTACTGCATCCAAAGGCACTTTAGAGCATTTGATTCAAGAGTTTATTCCATTAGGAAACAGAATTTGGCATAAGAAAAGTAGAAGAGCAATGGAAACGTCTTTTGGGAAAAACTTTAAGTCTCTTTACTTCATGGCAAAGATGTATTTGCTAGTTTTTGAAAGTAAAAATTGCATTGGCAGCATATCAAAATGTTTACATCTGTGAAAATGCTTTTATCACAAAATTCTGTTCTCGCTTGAACAACCTAGGGAAACCATGAGAACATTAGGAATTCAATGCTGAAAATAGGTATTGCTGTGAGCATATTGTTTGGGATGAAGGAGACGATCCGTGTACTGGCATTAGATTTTAGGTAATGCTTTGTGAAGACCACTCGCCTGAATAAAGACTGTCAACAAATGCTAATTCTATTTCCAGAGGTCTCATTTCAATTTACTGATGCCATGACAGTACGAATTCCTTATCGGTTGTCTAAATCCTGTCAGGTTTTTGTCATTTATTGTGATCCTATAGCTTTTTGGAAGGGTTAATTCAATTCATCTAAGGAATCTACAACACATTGCTAGAGTATATCAACACCTGCCTAAACATCAGATATTTTCATCTGAAGTTTTAGGTTTTTTCTCGTTTGAAGTTTGTCGGAAACACTACACAAAACATTTATTTTTCATTTTTTCCATTTCTACTCCTATGCAGAAACCCAACACAAAGACATGTGAAGTCAGTCACCCGACAGTCTACATGAGTATATGCAGTTAAAGATTTCCTACGTCATGCAGTTACAGGTTTAGTCAGCAGGACTAACACAGAAAACATTACATGATTTTCGTGTTGTCTTAACTGCTCATATTTTTATTATTTCTCTTGTGAAAGGATAAAGGTTTATGCATCTGGCAATCTAAATGATCGACGTTCTTTGCATTACAGTTTGAGAGAGCAGGATTGTTTTAATTCACATTCTCACTAGCTGCCCATTTAGCCAAGGCACAAAGCCTAAGAAAAACTACTCAGTAACAGACGTTTGAGCTCAGAAAAGAACAGAAAGAACAGATCAGGAGATATGAAAAATAAAGGTTGCTAAGAGATGATCTACAGATATTCAATGAGATGTATGATGACATTTAAATTTACATTTTTACATTACTTACATTAAAAAGGCACTACAACCTCTACAGTTTTGGCGTCTTGTCTACTGAGGAGATTGTAAATATGCAAATTTAACAGACCAAACAAATAAAAGATACTGGTATATCCTTTCAAGGAACAGATTCTGCAATGATCACAGTATCGTTTCTGTAATACACAATATAATCTTAGGAGAAGTGGGTTTTCCTCTGGTTTCTGATGAAGACACACCATTGTGTCACTCAGTTAAACATATCTGGCAATAGCAATGTAGCCAATCATAATATTTGTAGTATGTTTAGGCAGCACAGTTAATTACTGAAGTATCATGTGAACTTGCCTTGGGGCAATCTGGAAAGTTTAAACAATAGAATTAGTCTGTAGGCAACAAACTAAAATAATTAACAGTTATGCTTATGTGCCATATATCTAGAGAAAATTCCAAAATACACGCATCTTATATATTCTTTAGTACGAGGGATAGAAACAGAGCATGACAGCTTTCTTCCCATGGCAGATGCCAAACTGCATTGTTTGCATACTAGTGCCACCAGGTCAGCTAATGTCATTACTTTGTGAAGTAGAGAAGTAATTGCCAAAAGCCACAATGTTACCTAAAGCACAAAAGAAGAATCCGAAGGAGTATTATCATTTCACAAATGTTCTTCCGGAGGGGTACTGTTGTTTATCTCTGCACTTCAGAGAATTTTGGAGAAAGGCAAGATATGAAAAATCATTTAAATAAAGAAAAAATACTACTAATTCTAGCAAATAAAGTATTGGGTTTCTACATTAAGTTTCCTGAGAAAATTCAATGCATTTATAATATCCATCAGAGGACAGCATTTCTTCAGCAGCTATCAAGTCAATTGCTGCTGCCTTGAAGAATTGAGCAGGGCCAAGAATATGGGAGGAAGTTGAGGCTGAGGTCACAGTCAGGATGTCAAGGATTTTGCCCACCAGTATGAGGAAACGTTTTTCTGTTCCACGCCTAAATGGGTTGTGCACTCATCTGATCATCAGAAACACAATTCTTCAGAAATGAGAGTAGGGTTTGTTATAGGCATTTTCTCACATTGCTTCCAACAAACTGTACCAAACTGACGTTTGGACAGCCCAGACACTCATTAGTACAACCAAGGAGAAATTTTTGAGTTCAGTTTTTTTAGGAATACTGGAGATTTTTTCAACAAGAATAATCACTCATGCTTATCTAGCAGATAAGCAAGAGAAAGTCATGGTCAAGTTCATTGTTTAAGTGGCATAACTAAATAAAGACTTAATAAAGATTTATGATGTTTAAATGACATGAAATCTCATCTCAACCAAATTATACCATGGTTTTGGCTTTGACAGGAATATTTGCATCCTGTGGGAGATCATGTTCTAGCATCAACCATGGACTGCATCCCTGGCTGAGCAATTTGATAGCAAAGGATGGTATGCAAAGTTGGAATTTTATTCTTGGATACTGACAGATTAAATCAGAGAAGTCTCTTCAAGTGGATTTTTAATTTCAAGAGATTTCAGTTTGTTGCTTTAAGAGTATGTACACATTTAACTCACTCAAATGCACTAAAACCTGTATAAAAATGAGTGGCAATGTTGTAACAATGTCGGACTCATTTTTCTAATCCATGGTACATAGAAAGGTTCCTCACTCCCACTCAGATCAGGAGTCATTTTGCCATTGGCTGTGACTAGGAGAAAGAGTGGGTCTTAAACAGGTAACACATTGGAAGGACAAGGCTAATTAGTGATGTAAGTGAAGTATTCAAACATTAAGAGAAATGCTAAGACCTTTTTTACTTTGTAATGCTGTGCAAAGAAAAACACCTCACATTTAGGATGCTTAATTCAACTCGTGTTATACTACTGATGATTATGAAGTACATTTTGAAGAGGTTTGTTTCATGTTCTCTTGTAAGTGCAGAAAACATACAAAGACTTATTTCCTGCATGAAAGTACAGGTATAGGTAGAGACATACTTCATGAAGGCTATAAGAGAAAAACATATCTAATGAAAAGAAAACTTCAGGATACATTTAAGCAAATATAAGAATTTACATTTTTATAGTATCATTTAACAAAATGGTCCCATCGATCTTCTTGGTTGGAACAGCTAGAATACAAAATAAAACCAGCATTTTCTCTTTAATTGACATTTCATGTATTAATTTTACACTCATGCACATACTTCTCATACATACATCTTCTTATCAGTAATGGACTATATAGGGATTTCCTTCATTATCATTTCAAATAAGAGAAATAAGAGACTGAGTTTGACTAAAATTCCTGACAGGGTAGTGTTTTATTAAAATAAAAAAAAAACAAACAAAAAACCCAAACAAAACCCAAGATGGAAAATCTTCGCTGAATATTCAAGTAAGTATAAATACATAAAACACTATTTATAGAATGCTTGTTATCATTCCTAGCTCTTCCTCACATGACCTTCAAATATATCCGTGTGCCAAAGAAAAGGAGAAGTGAAAATTTATTGCTCCATGATATTGAATGGGTCTTTTTTTCCATCACGCATGAAATTCCACTTCTATAGCACTACAAAATGATATTATACCCTTCCAGAAGTGCTCTAAAGCACCGTGATACAAAGTGCTCTTCTGGGCTTTGCTGACCGAGCAGATTTCTCTTTCTAGTAAAATTGCCTAACTGAAATACTTTGGAACCTTTATACACAGAACAAACAGGCTTAAAAGGTGTTTCCTCTGGGAGATTTAGTAGATACTCAATTTTATGCTCCCATCTATATCCAGTCAATGTAGGATCAACATTTATTTATCAACACAGTTTCAGATTTTCATCTTGCAGCATATCTCTGGAATTTCAAATTAATAGAAATAAAACAGGCAGTAAATCCATCCTTTCATTTTATTTAAGCCAGAGAGCTGTCTTCTGGATCTAAATTCAGTATTCATTTTGCCTTCTTCTTATCTACAGTAAAGATATTGGAAATAGCTTAAGAGATATAATGAAGGTACCATTAAACAGATTATCTACCTCGTAATTGCCCTAGGGACAAACTAGTAAAGTAACTGGAAGTCAACAAAGCAATTCAAAACTAGTTATACAGATACACATGATATATGTTTTATATTTACCTTCATTTTTCTTGATGGTGAAGTTTGGATTGTTGACCATTTCAGGAAGAAGACTGTACAGGAAATAATGCCCATTTTTCGGATCATCTTTGTCAATGGCACTGACAATCTGAATTACCTACGACCGAAAACACTCTCATTAGGTATTTACACCCCTGATAAACATATAGTATTGAAAACCCATTCCATTCTATCGGATACATTCTCATTTGTCTACATGCCAGTTGAAAATGCTAATTTATAATCTTGCAAGCCTTTTACAGACCTTAGATTGAAATTCTGGGGAACGGGGACTGTATTTGGCCCATTTAAACTGTTTCCAGAACAAGAAGGCAGAGAATAACGAGAGACAGGTACATGAGAGAGGCCATTAAAAACTACTGCTGATTTAGGCAAGTAATAATTTATTATTCTGCAATAAAGAAGAAGGAAAACCATTTCAGAAACACTCATGGTGCCTTTGGTAGTCTTTCCTTCCAACAGCAGTGCTGCTCACTGGACCAAAATGTATATATCATCTATTGTCATGGTTTAACCCCAGCCAGCAACTAAGCCCCACACAGCTGCTCACTCACTCCCCGCCCCGCTGTGAGATGAGGGAGAGAACTGGAAGAGTGAAAATAAGAAAACTCGTGGGTTGAGATAAGACAGTTTAACAGGTAAAGCAAAAGCCGCACACACAAGCAAAGCATTACAAGGATTCAGTCACTCCTTCCCATTGGCAGGATGGTGTTCAGCCATCTCTGGGAGAGCCGGGCTCCATCACTGCAACAGTTACTTGGGAAGACAAACGCCGTCACTCTGAATGTCCCCTCTCTTCCTTATTCTTTCCCCAACTTTACATGCTGAGCATGATGTCATATGATATGGAATATCCTTTGGTCAGCTGGGGCCAGCCATCCCAGCTGTGGCCCCTCCCAGCTTCTTGTGCACCCCCAGCCCACTTGCTGGTGGGGTGGTGTAAGAAGCAGAAAAGGCCTTGACACTGTGTAAGCTCTGCTCAGCAATAACAAAAACATCCCTGCATTATCAACACTGGTTTCAGCACAAATCCAAAACACAGCCCCACACCAGCTACTGCCAAGAAAATTAACTCTCTTCTAGTCAAAACCAGCACATCTATCTTCAATTGTTTCTCCTTTCCCCATGACCATTTTCTACTTTATTGAATAAATATTTTTTTTAAATTAACTTTTAGTGTGAAGTTTTGTACAATAAATAATCTAATCTGAAAAAAATATTCTAATTCTATATTTGGATTTTTTCCTTAATTTAAACAGAATCTCAGTTTTCCCTAACTAGGAACACATGCTTGTTTTAAATACCATTATTAATAAATCATTCTTGGAATAACGCAGGATAGTGAGGTTTAGAAGAGGAGAGAGTGTTTGGATATTCTGAATAACTTTGAATAATGGAACAACTTTGTATGAAGCACCTCATATGATTTATATGGCCAACTACAGCATCTGCGGAGTATTTACCTCCATTTATCTCCTTTCTCTCCAACATCACTCAGAGAGATACTGCAGTTGATCATCTTCAAATCATACAAAGCTGCATAGGAATATGAACGGGGGAAACCTTATTTTAAAATAATCAGGTTTAATTTTTATTTTTTTTAACATGTGGTGCAATTACTTTTGATTCCAAGTATTTTCCAGAGAAGTAGAAACAAAGACAACTATGGATCCAGATTCTGCACTCAAAGCCAAATTTCAGGAATAGTTAGCTTATGCTGCATGAGGTTTATAAGAAATTTAGTGAGAATTATTGACCTTTCCCATGTCCATTGAATTCAATAACATTTTTGTCTTATGTAGTTATTTTTATAATGCTTAAAGCAGCTGACCAATAATTTCTTAGACAATGAAATTAAAATTAGGAATCACTACAAATTTCATTTTTAAAGTGTAGTGTAAAAAATAGAAACAGGGTCTGATGCTGTCCAGATTCATAGACTTTTACTTTAAATTATCAATTCTTCACTAACAAAAGGCTAATAACTAATATTTTCTACTGGTTTTACCACAAGAGAAAGGACTATCAATCTGTACATGTTACATATATGATAATAGTCAATATACCATTCTTTCTTCTATGTTCTTCAACAGTCAACGAAAGAATAAAATCTTAGTAGATATCCACAAGAAGCAATGTCAAAACATAAATATTTGAAATTATGTATGGAAAAAGATGTTTGAGCAGGCATTGATATAGGCATATATAATTTGTAAGATAACCTAGGAAGGCGTTTGAGACAATTAATTCCTTGCCTAACTGTATTCTGGGTAAGTTGGATGTATTATCAAAAACGTACTGGAAGAAGTTTTAGATTGTTTAAATACCACATAAATAGATTCTTTTTTTTTTTTTTTGACAACTGTATCTGACAAGGCAGAAACCTTTACTGATATGATTTCAAATACATGTATTAGGAAAGATGAACAAAAAAATGCCTAGCATAGCTTATGTTTAAAGAAGTAGGTCTCAAATTTGATAGCTGCACAATGGATCCTAGAGAGCTATGCAGTATGAACAAATATAAACAGCTGAGATGTTGCCTGTCCCACTGCAGAGATGAACCTATTTACAGATGTGGAACATTACCCCCCTTTGCAGACAGGTAAGGTACTAAGCCATCCACATGCATCAGGCCCAAGGCTGGACTAGTAATTTTGCATCACAGGTAAGTGCAATTTAGAATGGAATCCTGAAGAAGTGTCTTTAGATACATACATTTGATGATTGTTCCTTTTTTCAAAAACTGCTAGAATACAAAAGCAATAGGGAAAAAGGACAACACTGCAGCGAAGTCTGGAAGGTCAAGTGCACACAAGAGGTGCAGTTTATCAGATGGTTATGCAGTTTTATCTCTACTGGCTACATAACTGTTAATTCTTTCCAGCATTATGTAAGAGAGTTGACTGTAAAAATTCACTTCAATGTCTCCAGATTTTCAATTAATATACCTGAAAGCCAGTAGCCAAGCGCATTAGTAAAATGGGTTTTCAGCTCATGGAAATTTTATGAAATACGCTGAGAATATCACCTAGACTGAAAATTTTCAAGAAATAGAAACTGAGCATATTCTTTGTCTTCCCCTCCCCACCCCCTACAGGAAATATCGATACCTCTTAATGTCCTATAGAATTCTTTCTTATATTTCAGTTCTTTCCATCCATTCCCTTCATTGCTTACTGAATCATTCTTCCTCTGAAAATGCATCAAAAATTCTATGCGAAAGTCAGGCTTAGTGGAATACTACATTTGTTGTGTTACATACACACATCTAGGAATTAAGAGTTAGTGTTCCCATAGCAACCTTATTTCTTTGTGCGTTTGCATAAAAATAAGCTCTTAAAATAAAAAGCATATAACATCTATATGGTGACACAAAGCTGCTGTACCTTTTACTCCATAGTGGTGAGAAAAGCCCAGTAATTCTCATTATCACATTTTTATTAGCATGCTGATGAGCATACTTTATTGCTCAGTGTTGTGTGATCATGTAATGGAACACTATGAAGTAATTCTCCAACTCTTAATTTGTGCTTCAAAGCATGGTAGAGAATCTTTCAGGGCTGACCTGCCTTACCTATCACTACGGATGTTTTTTCTTTCCTAGTAGTAACATGCATAATAAAGGTGTTCCATGTAACAAAATTGGTCAATACTAATAATAAAGAAAACAAGAACTGATTTTTTTCATTACACATCCATAAGCACTTGAGCAAAAGATAAAACTCTTTGGCTGTCCAATCTTGAAATTTCTGAAATTATTCCATGTAAAATTTCAACTTTGGTGTTGTATTAACAATTCATGCGTATATTTGATTCTGTACATACATTTAGTAAAAACATTGTAAATCAGCATGTTTTGCTGAACAGGCAGCTCGGGATTGAAATGAATAGTTAAATGATCCCCTACGACAATTTGGTATTATAGTCTGCAGGTTTGTATTGCATTTCTATAAAGTCACAAATGCCTGAAATAACATTTATAAAAGATTACCAGTATAATCATAATGAATGATGTAAAAGGATAAATAGAAAAACAAAGTTCTTATCAATGCATTATAACTATCTATGTGTGATTTTAATATATGGTACTGTTTTGGTGTCTTTCCCTGAAATGCAACTTAACCTAACTTATAATTAATAGATAATGATAGATTTATTCCTAGATCTATTCCTAGATCTATCTATTCCTAGATCTATCTATATTCCTAGATCTATCTATCTAGATCTATTCCTAGATCTATCTATCTATTCCTAGATAGATCATTCCTATCATTAGTCAACTGCTCCCTACTTTTATGAAAAGTATTCTTCCAACTCTGAAACAACTTTTGCAGTTACACTGGTATGCATGGTTATTTCTGAATTACTTTGCACTCATAAAACCGTAAGCAGTAGACTCATCACAGTACAATTTTAACTCTGCCTTTTCAGAGAGAGCCAGCCCTTTACTGCTGGAACCTGCATTTTGCCACTTGAATGAGCTTTGACTCTTCAGAAAGACAAAGATCTATCTGAAGATTTCTTCTGTTAGAAAAAGCCAATTCTATTAGGAGAATTGAATAAAACAGAGACAAATTGCAAGAGAATGAAGGAACATTGTACTCAGTTTTATATTGCTTTAGTTTGAACACTGGCTTGGGCACTGCTCCTTCATTGTCTGCACTACTTAAGAGTTCTGAAATTTTCTAGCTTTGTTTTGAGCAAACAGCACTTCACTGGAAAAGTTTGCGTATGGATCAGAAACAGTGAGTGAGGCACTTTTTTTACTCAACACCACAAATGGTCTGTTCTAGAAGCATACAAAAATAGTTTAGGTGGGCTGGAGAACAATCAACGGTACAGCTATAGCCAGCAAAACCATGGATGTTCTGGCTTTAGTAAGTGGAATTATGCAAAACCAAGGAATAATAGGGAAAGGCATAAGCCTGTTTATGGTTAGCATAGAGGTACAGTAGCAGTACATTCAAATCTTTTCTCCTCCCCACGCCCCCCCAAACTGACAAAAAACATTACTGCCAACTTTCTGTTGCATGTAAAACTGCAAGATGCACATAAATATGTGCATGGACAAATAGATTTCCTCCTCTCCTTTTCCTCTCCTACTAGCTGTAGTACCTCTACTGCTAGAGGTTGGTTAAAGCAAAGAAAATGCATCTGGCAATGTTATACATCAACAGTTTTTAATACATTCTGTCACATCACCAGCAGCTGCACTTGCCACTTGCAATTATATCAGAACCCAAAATAGAACACTTAGAAACTGAACTGGAATAGATGGTTCAATATAGTCAGGGGCTGCAAATAGGGTTTCACAACAGATTCAGATGTAATCTCCCTTATGGTAATTCAAAGTTGATTTAAACTTAAATCTAAGTTGAACAGCAAATGTAAATAGGTTGGAATACCATAACACAATGGCACCTTTCTTGTACATGTAACGTTAGCAACATATCCAAATTAGGCTCTTGCTATTTTGTAAGAGGAACATCTTTCTCATATTAGCTATTTCATAGCTGAGACACATTCAATTTTTGAATTCTACATCCTGACTGATTAATATGGTTTCTTCCAAAATCTGAATACAGAATAATAAGCATAAGAAAAACTAATTGGGTAATGTAGATACTAAAATCTTCATAGGAGCAGATAATTTTTGACTGACTTAAATTCAGAACCTAACCTTGGCGATTATTCTGGACTGCTTACTGTTCCAATAACGTTATTTGTTTAAAACACAGAATAAATTACAGGATCAGAGCCACCTCATCCATGCTGGCAGCCAAATATTTAATAACCATCTGTAAAGTTCAAACAGGGATTCATGCTCAAGAGTGACATCTGCCATCAGATCAAGAGTGTCAAAGGTGATGGCAAGATGAAGAATACAATGGTTTAATGAAAGTTTTCTGTAAGTGCTTAAACAAAATCCTCTTTCACCTGCAGACTCTTAATCATCTCATTTATTGTTTTATTCCAAAATGAAATGCTAACATTTTTCACCATCTTTTAAAACACCTAAAATTTGATAGGAATACCTAGATAAATACATTCAGAAAACACTATGCAACACACCTTTCTGATTTCAGGGAAGTTTACTGAGCCCTGGCTAAAGGTATGCTAGTTAGAATTCAATATATCCTAGAAAACGTAACTACTCAGCATCTGAAATCCACCCTGAGCTAAACAGAAATCCACTCTGAGCTAGAAGAACTTAAATACCACAGTAACATAACTGTCTGCCCATAAGTGCATATTTCAATAAACTGCTTTTCAGAGGTTAGAGAGAATTCTCATTTCTTAAATGACACATTTTTGACACCTTTTTAATAAACAAAAAGGGGTGCTAGAAGTTAAATCATCTGCAGTAACAATTCAGTCTTGGCAGAGGTATGTTGTCATATACCATTATATAGGTTGTCATTTAATACCTCTAAAAGAAAATGATTTCTAACTCTCTTGTCAGGTAACCTTCTTTGGAGAAGAGTGAATTTAATGCTTAACACCCACATGAGACACAGGAATAGTTGGATTAACAAGACTAGTGTCATGCTGTCAGCTGCTGTTTATTTAAATAAAATGTCATAATCTAGAAATAAATTAGGAAGTTTAAAAACAGTGAATTTTAACATACAGTGTTTCTCAAGCTGGACAAAAGTTAAATCTCATTTACACTGCATTATTTTCTAAAAGTCTGTACATTTTTTTGCATCTTTATCTTGTCCTTTATGTGGCATATGAGATGAGTCTCCCCTATTTCTGTACCTTTGTCCTTCAAAATGGATGCCTTTTAAGAAATCTGTTTCGTTTTCTTTGAAAAGCACTGTACAGGCTAAATCTTGCTTCCAATATCTTGCTATGTTTATTTCACCTTGTAGAGTGTTGTGTAAATTCCTTTGCCAAGCCTTTTATTTCATTAAATCAAGAAGTAAATAACCTGTTAAGTCTTCTTTTTTTGTTTGCGTTTTTTTGTGAAGTATAATGAAAACCTGAACACCCCGTCCCTCTCTAGTATTTTACATGTGGTTACAATTTACTTGACTTTCCATCAAATTCTGGTTTGCTTTCTTGCTTTTTGCACATTGTCATATAAAAGTGAGTAAGAACTAAATAGAGATTATAACTGAGATATGGGCAAGGGGAAATGGTTTATTGTTTTAAGTGTTTCTTCTAAATTATACACGGGACCAGCTGCAATATAGTTCAATAACTGAATTGGAATTCAGGTTGGATTATACTTTTACCTATTAACACACATGAACCTATGAAGTGATGAGCTCCATTAATGACAGTGGAAACAGAAGGAGCTTAAAGACACTCTGTATTTTTTCTGGATATTCCCCCAAGATACCTACCTTTAATTAAAAACCTATACTTCAAAAAATATGTATGTCCATATATACAAAGATGTAGCACAGAATACGATCATAGATTTATCTTAAATGAATGTTACGAGTTGTTAGCATGAACATATATGCACATATTTTGGGAATAAAGATAATATGACAAGGAGGAACTGCACCCCATTCTCACACACCAAAGTACACAACATAAAAACATGGAGATACTTACTTGTCCAGGCTTCCCATTCTCACATAAAAAGGCTTCATGCTCTGATGCAAACTCAGGAGCATTGTCATTTACATCAAGAACTTTGATAGCAACAGGTACCCGTGACACTTGACTGTGGTTCCCTGAGAAAAGAAATCGAAGCACAAAAGGTGAGCCTACTTAATTTGGGACTGATGCATAAGTGCTTACATAAGTAATCATACTCTTCCTGTTTTCTGTCCTTGCTTAATTGGGTTGTCTTATCTGTAATGGATCATTGAGTTGGAGCATGAGATAAAGAAGGATGGCCAGTATTTTATAGCTGAAAAGAATAAATAGATCCCTATTGCAAACAGCATTTGTTGGAGATTAGCTCAATGAAGACCTTTCTTGGACTAAATTGGTAAGATTTTTCTTTGATGAAGTTTATATTGTTTTATTGATAAAGTCCATTATACATGGAAAAGGGAAGGCTGTAAACAACATAGATTTATTTCTTTGTTTATCTTTGGCAAAGAACAGAGCATTTTACTCTATTAGTTGTTCTGACTGCACATCTATTATTTCTTCATTACAAATACGATTAATGTGGAGACCCACATGGTGAGGAAGAAAGAAGGTAGATTGACACAGGCAAAACTAGATAGTACTTTGGACTATTAAAGCACTTTGATTCATCTGACCAAAAATATGACCTATAAACTTCTTTCTTCACTGAAATGAAGCCTCAGTAGTTATAACATAAAGCTATTTGCATAAAAGTGTTTATCACTGTAAAGAGTAGAATAACCTTGTTAAGCTGTAAGGAAAGAAAACCTAAACCAGCAGTTTGCATTCCACCCTGAATAGATTTCACAGTCAGTTTCTAGTGTCACTCCTTCAATTCAGTATAGCTAATTTACTTTAAGACTATTTAAAAATATCTTAAATTCTTTTTCCCAAAGAGCAAAAACATTAATTCAGTTTAAACTGAGGTGACAAGCTGATCTGAGTAGTTTAAAACACTGTTCTATAGCACATACATACCTCTACAAGGAACTCAGTACTAGTTTCGAAATCCATCTTAGTACTATTTTACAACCATAGTATTTTACCTTGTTTATATCACCAATAATTTGAAGAACTGCAGACTGTGTGATGTAAAATCTGGCTCTGCCTTGGAACTGAACTAGGTGCTTTTTGCCTAAATTATTACTGCAGGCAAGAAAGCTGCTACCATAAGTCAGGTTGTCAACTTACTCACAGCTGTCCAAAGCTGTCATCAGTCCATGTGGGTTCTTTTCTCTGGCAATAAAGAACTGATTTAGGGGAAGGCAGGACAGAAGTTCCTATTGCCTGGCGTTCAACGTACATCTCATAACAAATGTCTACAAAATAGAAGTAGGTCGGACTCCACCAGTGGGCAGGTAGCAACTGGTGGCAGCCCTAAAAGTGGTAGAGAACATTCAAGGGAGAATCGCTAGACACACTATTTTTTGTGGTTTCCATCAAAGTTAATTGTGTTGTGACCGAATCAAACCCTACATCTTGCATCCTTTTTTTCTCCTCTGTATGCTAAAGATAGTCATAATTTTTGAGGATTCGCCTTTAAATCTAAATGTGTAAGTTTCAATTGCTCTGCTAACATTACTTGGAAATGGCATAAAAATAACTACTTCGAAAGACACAAAGCTAGGCTATCATCAAATGTACTAGTGCTATAAACAAAGGCTTTATGGTTGCTGGATAGCCAGAAATACTAAAATTCCACCTGTATAGGATATGGAAGATTACAAGACATCAGACTTTAAGTGCTTCTCATTTGAAGGAGTCAAAAGTTTTAGTTCAGAAAGAAACATGTTACAGATGAACAAGAAATACTCATGAAAATATTATAAAACTCATATTTATGTCCATTTTGCATCATATGATCTTATTTATTAACGGGTAAGGTGAACACTTCTGCCATGAAATAATAACGTATTTGAAATCAAATAAAAGTTAATATGCAAATCATGAATCTCAAACATTTTAAACACATTTTTTTATCTCAACTTGATAAAAATACAGACAATGAATCTTGAGCTTATCAGAATTCTCAGCACTAGTGTCATATTTAAACACTAAAGATTTACTTTTGTCTAAATTAATGAAATGATGGCAGTTCAAATTTTAAAGACATTACAGAGAAATGTAATTAATTAGATAAGCTTCTAAAGAAATTATTCATGTCCCTTGTGACTGCCCCCAAAATGTTTGTCTTTCATCAGAAATACAAACATTAAATTTAAAGATATTATAATTAGAAACTTGATGAGAATTCATTTAAAAAATTAATTTACTAAATACAAGAGAGACCCAACTGGTTTGGAAATCTCCAAACAAGGGGACATCCACTTCCTATTACGGTTCCTGTGACTATCATGAAATTTATTGTTAAGAAAGAGAGAGAGAGAGGTGGAGAGGGAATTTTATCTACTGCTTGTACTGCCCACCACACTGAATACATTGCCTTATTTTGTCATTGCAAACTTTTGAATGAAATGCCACTTTATGCTAAGTGTTTTCTCAGTAAATAAAAATCACCCTAAGCATATATATTCAAACACATGAATGAATTCTCACTAAGCAAATCCAGATTTCACTCATGGTTGAGAACACTGTCGAGATAAAATTGTCACACTTCTAATGTCTGCAAAATTCATGGTAAAACATGTACACAGGGGACGTCCCTCTCAAGTTTAAATCCATCGCTGTCAGCAAGGCCCAATATCCTTGAACTGAAGTGGAAAGTACTTGAAGTGGATCCGCTGTGATTCACAGAGTGCACGAACTTACGCTTGCATGGGCAGCTGGCCTTCATACTGATTAGTACTCAGTGTTCAGAACTTCTCATTTGTACGAATCGAGAGTCAGTTCTTTCTAAACCAGTGAAAAAATTGAGTTTTAATTACTGGGGATTTTTTTGGTTGGTTTGTTGGGGTCTTTTTTCCCCAATGAACCACCCAGTCAACAGCATTAAGGGAGACTGAGTCTTCTTGCATGTACCAAGTAGATAGGAAGACTGATTGCTTAAGTTCTAATCCATTATTTTATGTAAAATCATAAAAGACTGGAAAGTTAGAGACTCTCTAAGGAACTAACCAAATTTTTAAAAGCTTCATCACCTGTATTTATAGTGATGCACAGTTTAAAAAGATCTACCTTGAATCTTGTGTACCATTAGTACTGTTACTTGAGAAGCAATGTCTTGGTTTGAAAATTTAGCACACTTAGGTGTGAGATTAAAAAATACTGAGAAAATTTCCACTAGTCTAGTTTACCAAAACTCTTTTAGAGTAAGGCTGCACAGAAAGATTTAGTTTTTAATTTCAAATACATTCAATTGGTCATCTGTGGGCACCACTGCCCCAACACAGCATGTAGCTATAAGAAACACATATGCAAATTGTGTACATAATTTTCTAGAAGTACAGCTTTTATGTCTCTGCTGAAGTCTCAATTAGTGCCCACAGTTCTAAGATCTGGTAGATGAGCACAGCACACACACAAAGAAAGGAACATCTAGACAGATATAAGGAAAGGAGACTTAACATAAAAATAACTAGTGGAACTTCCTAGTGATAATACATAAATTTCCAAAAATAATTGCAAGTCCTGCCGAGTTTAGAAATGTATATTGAAAGGTTTACAAGAATTATAAGCAACTAAAAAGCTCTTCTGCTTTTCTCCCTAGTTCTCAAGATTGTATTGGAACATTAAAAGCTTGAAATACACACCTTGCTAGTACTCATCTTTGGGTAACAAACCCATTGAAACTTACTCAGGATTAAAATAGGCTGCAGAGTTTGATACAAAAATGATGAGATAGATGAGATAATCAAAGTCAAATTTAAAAAAATGCATTATCAAGCCATTTAGTGTCTCCAGACCTGAACTTTTGGAGACTACAGACCCACACTAGTTCTTGTTGTGATAAACACATTCCTTCCTTCCTGGAAAAACCCTACATATTTGAGGTGTGCATGTATCATTGGAAATTTGTAATGCAAAGCACTAAGCGTTGTTGACATTATTACTGCTTGTAGCGAGTAATACTAGGAGTAGCTAGAGCTTATAAATCAAATTTTTGGTCTTGTGCCATAACTAACAGAACATAATGCAGCTATTCAACTCCCATAAACACTTGAACACTTCACAAACATGCTTAAAACACTTCACAACTGTTTTTCCTTGATAGATACACACACAAGTGGTCTTAAAGAGCAGTGGTCTTTAAGAAAAAGAATTATTGGCTGCACAAAATTAAGTTCGTCATTTGTTTAACCCAAGGAAATCCAGTTTAATCCAGTTTTCCTTTATTTAATTAAATCATCCAAAATCACTTCAAGGTTTTCTGTAAAAAGTCATAAGCTGTCTTGCATTTTAACTATAATTAAGTACCCGAATAGAAAGAAGACTCCTAGAAAATAACACATCTTTTATTATTATTGTCTTCACCACGTGGCTTGGAAATGGCTATTTCATGCTTCTCTGATTCAGTGAAATTTCTACTATAATAATATTTTAAATTAGAAGTAGAGGAAGTCCCAGCTCTAACAGAGAAATCAAAATAAAAGCTGAATCACTGACTTAATAAAAAACCAACAGCACTTGTTCTACATCCCTTGTATTTCAAACTTATTAAGTTGTATTTTAACAGATCTGTTCCCCATGATTTTATCAAGATTTTATCTGATTACTTTATTAAGATAATCCACATGCCTGGAAAGTTTATTTCTCCTGTTAGGGTTTATGTTGTTGTTTTCTTTGTGCAATCCTTTACATCTATAACACCACAGCTTATAACTTTTTTTTTGCCATATAAAACTGACAAATCTAACTTCAAGAATCCTGAGAAACAGAGATGCTATTGTGAAACTGAAATTTTACTAATGTTGAAGTTTAACAATAGAAACCACATACTGCAGCAAACACTGTGTTCATTTGTCTGAAATGTTGTGTAATGATTTGATTCAAGAGAGACTGAGTGCCTGAAATTGTCAGGAAAAGACATCAGTAATTGGCAGTGTTTCTGTTAAAAATAACAGAACATTCGTTACTGCTGAATTAGGATAAAATTCAAGCAACCAAACAAAAAAAGCAAACAGGATTGGTCATCATC